GCGGCAACTGCGCCAACCTCGCACCTCACATATTTTTTTAAAACTTTTCTATTCAAATTTTGGCTCATTGTTCAGTAAAATTCAAATCAACGTAACAATAGTTTAATCAAGTCCAGACTTGAGTACTCTGACTCATTTTGTGAACATCAATCGTTTCGGCAAGCACCAGTGCAGCAGTGTCCATTGTGGCTAACAAAAGCTGATTTACATTGTAGAACATCCGTAAATAATTATCTAGGGTAAGAAATCATGGTCTGAGCCAAGACTCCTCCACTTGTTCCTTGTGCCTCGGAAGCACACACTGGAAGCACGGAGCATAGCAAAAGACAGCCGGCACTTCACCCAGTTCATAGTTTCACGATAGGGTTTCTCTCACTCGGTAGATAAATCTTCTCCTATTCTCCGAAGGAAACTTACAAATTCTGGAGCAAGCATCCGATGGACAGACACGACAAGAGGAGTGAAAGACATATGCCTTTCCTGACACGCGTCTGAATATTTTGTCTTTTTCTCAACCTCTGCTGAGTGCAAAACACTCATGAGGCTTCTGTTCCGATAGGAGATGGCATCGGTGTCAGAGACACGAATATCAAAAGACGCTCCTCCCTGTCTAACATAAACTCCACGACAAAACAAATCTGCAATTAATGCGGGTGTCTCATCTTGCGGGTTGTATTATCTAATAACAGGCTCTCTGTACATCCTTCCACACTAAAGAAGCTAAGCCGCCTACAGAATCCTTAATCTCATTTTGCCTTAAAGTTAAGAGACCACATTTTTGCACACTAACGCACGCCGTAGGGTGAATGGTGACTGGCAACCATCACAAAAAGTTGGCGAAGCGGTCAAGTTTTTGTTATACCGGACACTCAATGCATCCCGAATCTCCACTTCCGACAGATCAAAGTTTTCTGCAGCAATAGGTAACGCTGTCATCCAGGCAGACAAGCTTCCTTCATAGATTCTTTTTACTGCGCGAACTTGGTCTGCTGGTAGCTCATTCAATAACTCCCCCAACAACTCTTCATGTTTTTCTTACATTACTGATGATTTTTTTTCGCGATTGAGACATTTGCTTTCTGTAGTCTTCATGAGAGAAACCGTGCTGATTAACAATAGCATCATAAAGAACCGTAACTGCTTCCCGTGACGTATTGTAAGACTCACCAGCGAAACTGATTGGGATAGACACTCCAAGACCACCCTTTCTTGCTGGCAAACAAAAAAGACGTCTCTCAATTGATGAAATCGACGAAGTTCCAAGTATCGCACGTAAGAATTTCTCCTTCAGAAGGTTCTCTAGTGGTTGAAAAAGCTGACTAGAACCACCCAAAACACGATGGGAAAAATTCCATTCCGCTTGTAGGGACTTAGTCAGTCCTGATAAAGCACATTGTGGTTCTGTTTTTGTCACAAACGAACGTTTCTCATTTTTGTCTACCCATTCAAGTTCTTTCTTTTTCAGGTATATGTCCTTCTCATTTCCGTCTCCAATGAAACCGCCCAAAAACCTCTTCACTTCACTATAGTAATCGATGACTTGTCAAATATGTGACGCGCTCCTTCAGCATATTGTTTATCGACAACCAAAAAACTTTTGGAAGGCTCTGGAAAGTAACCGAAGGCGGGAACTTCCTCAATCAAGTTTTTGAGCCATATCTCCAATTTCTTGAGTTTTGCTATGGCCGCAGAATCATCAGCATACCAACTTTGTAACACATTGTTCGGATCACTTAATTTCCGAATCAGAAAAGAAGTGAAACACCATAGACGAACATTGCCATAGGGTCTCCCTGTGTGGTTCGTTCTCTACTGTATAACACTTCATCGGCGCCAGCAACGAAAAGCGACGCGAAGCCTGTGTAAGTATTAAAGAGAAATCTACAACATCTAGGCAACAGTATTTGAGCATTCCACAAAGCTGTTAAGCTGTTTCAGCATTGAGCGAGTTGAAAGCATTTGATGCATCCATCAACAAAATGCCACAGCAACCTTTCCTGTTGTCATCAAAAACATGAGAGCGCACGAATTGCAACTTCAACGCCGGCTTTCAGCCCAGAACCTAATTGATCAGTCAAACATGTTTCTTCAAGGTCACTTTTTGTGAACTCAGCCGCACTTTTGCAAATTATTCTTCGTAGACACTGGCCTATGCCAATAGGTCGCACGCCAGGACATTTATCAAGCGCAACCAATCTTCCAGAAACCAGTGCTCGCATTTTTGACCGTGGTCAGATTTGATTGCACACTTTTGTGGCAAGAGTTGCAACTTCCTCTCTCAAGACTGTGAGCCCCATGACGTAATAAAACCGTCTGCCAATGCTCAGAATCTGTTCCCGAAGCTCCCGAACTGCCCTGCAACGAACGTGTCGTCTTTTCAATGGAAGCAGAACTGATGATAACATCTTCAAAGTCGGGTGAAACTGGCACTTGCAATCGCGAAGAGGGATGTGACTTGTGTGGCTCTGGATGCTTTGTCTTCAAAGTCTCTAAAACGTTCACAACTTTCATCACCTCTTGCATAGGATCAAGCACACCCCCGCTTGCTCTCTCCGAGAGCCACCGCATAGCGCTTCTCACTTTGCCTTTCATCATTAATGAAGCAAACACTTTCGAGACATGTTTGTCGTCCAAATTATCTTGATTTGTTTGCTTCTTTTTGCCACATCTCATTGCTTCCGCCAACAACTTGTCGAATTTGTTTTCCTTCCAGTGTTCATTGCGCCGTCCAATAAATGTCCAAATGTCTGTTGATGCTTTGATCATTGGATTTTTTTTTTCGTAATAAAAGACGACTCATCACCAGAACTCTTTCTGAAATGGAATCAGCAGTGGTAGGAAGCTTCGGTTCATGTGTCAAGAGGTCCACGTTCTTCCTACCAATGTTACCATTAGGCAAACTATATAGTCTTTTTGGCAAGCGTACACTTTTCACCCATCTTTCATTCAAATTGAATGATCAAGACAAGTTGATTTGTCAAGTGACGCACCGAATGCTTCCATCATTTTGTCTTCGTCATGGCTTTCAAGATTCGGATCAGTTTCTGGTAGCACATCTTCTATTTGCTGGTCTTGCATGGCTTGAGTTAATCCTGTGCGGCCATTGCTTGTCGGTGTAACATTAACGCGGTCATTGTTATCTTGTGATATTAACAAGTCTTCCACTTCGAACCCGTTGGTATTGGAAACACTGAGCTGCGAATCAGAATTATACCCCAGATAACTAGGCGGTTTGATAATTCTCTGAGTCCGCCTCATGATATCAAATCAAAGCACCACCGTGGTAGTGTCACGAAGAAAAGAAAACCAGAAGCAGCAAGTCCGAGATAATGAAATCTCTGGAGTCACACTCGGTATAACAAATGATATTCTGCTCTGCAAGCCAACTCCGCTGCAAACACGAGCGTTCCTCCAACCAAACTTGAACTCTTCCCGAGCACGGGCCACTCTGCTCCAGAAACAAGCTCCTCTCCAAACACGAGTTCCAAGCACCGGCTCTGTACCAAACACACACGAGCTCCAAGCACTGGCTCTGCATACAACACGAGCACCAATCCAAAATTAAGCTGTACTCCGATTACGTGCTCTGCTCCAAACTCACGAGTTCAGCTCCAAATACGAGCTCTGATCCAAATACGAGCACTGCTTGAGATAAAATGTCCGCTCAGTTGTCGATGTTGCAGTGGTTATTGTTTTTTTTCTCGCTTAACAAGACACGTGCAAAAAACCAACAGTATTCAATAAATTCAACCAACTGCACCTCACATCTGGTTGCCCAGTTTTTACGAAGAGTCACCCGTTTGTATTAATTTACGCGAGCAACTTCAGGTTGACTGAACCTTAAACTTTCCACCTATACTAATAAATCGCCACCTATACTAATTTTTGGGTCTAGCACCGACAAAAAAGGCAATTTTTGTCCTGCTTTTCTTAAAGAATTTCTTGGTTAGTAGAAGTTGAGGCAAAATATTGCTTGATATGTTTTAACGAGCTTCGAATCAATTCAAATTGGCTCACCAAAAAAAAGAAAGTCGACAACTTTTCGAAACCCCACCCCAAACGAAAAACTTTCCGCGCGCCACTGAATAACAACAACAGTTATCACCCGGGTTGAAGTCCCACCGTTAATTACAGTTTTTTCTGTAGTATCCCAGTGATCGCTTTTTTCCAGCGATGATTCATGCATAATTCAGAGTTTGGTGCGATTTTTCAAAGCTATTTCAGCAATGATTCCGTAGAAAATCATTGCTAAAACTTAAGAAATTTTAACTCATTCTAGTAGCTTTCAAATGAGAGTTATAGCTGATAAGCTCTTTAGCTTTAGTGTTTGCAAGGATTGATACAGAAAAGGTAGCATACAGGTATGTAAATCTCAAAGTCAGAAGAGCAAGTCCCTGTTTGAGCATTAATTTTTCTCATTTTGATAGGTTTTTTATCGCTGTTTCATCGCTGAAAAAGGCCAATTTAGCAATATTTATCGATAAAATTTACTACTGTGGAAATGAACATCGACAGTTCATCAATGGCGATAGCTGTTTTTTCCCTTTTTTATCGCTAATTTTCAATGTGAGCTCAACCGGGGCACCATAAACATAAACAACCTGGATCCTCCCACTTATCTAAGTTTTTCGGCAAATAAGTCTTCAACATGTTACAAACACTTTGATTCTTTGAATTTCAATCAATATGAGACCAAAAACTAGAAACAAAGGAAACAAGAAGTTTTCAAAGTTCATCAATATAAAGTGAAACTGCTCAGCAAGGGTTTCACCATGCCCTTTTGTTTATAAATAAAGAAAAAAAATGTTACATTTTTACAAGAACGCCTCAATTACAACTAAATTTAATTAATTCATAAAATAAAATCTCTAAAAAAAGTAACTCACCAAGCGGAATATTTCAAAGGAAAATGTTTTGGTTCAACCTTGTAATTTTTTTTTAATTGGACCTGTTAATGTAATACAGAGGAGTGCACGAATATTCCGACTGGCATCAATCGAATGGCTTTCGGCGTCGACATATCCCGACTAGACTTGGAACCTCTGGACTTCACAGAGCCAGATGGTTTCGCTGGACGCGTAATTCAATACACATGCAATGAAGGAAAAGTATGGAGAAATCCATACAACAACAAAACATTCCAAATGCCAGACAAAATTTTAGGAATTGCAAGCATCCCTGGAAGTTGGTTAAATACGGAGACTTATTTGTACCAAAGCCGACTGGACATCAAAGCTCGCTTCTCATCTCGTGCGGGGTTGGGTATCAAACTCAAGATGCTTGGGAGTTTTTCTGCCAGTTACAGTTTCAGAACAATGTTAAAAGTTTTGCTAGAAGAGTCGTTACAGATCACAGAAGTGACGTCATTCGTTTCAACTTGCCAGGCGGCATTTGCTCCGGCTGAAGTTTTGGGACTGTCAGCAGCAGCCCAACATGTAGTCGACTTACTGCCCGAAGATTTTAAAACATCTCCAGAAGCCTATTTCAGTTTCATCGGCTATTTTGGGACTCATTTTTTGTTCAAAGGCGAGTTTGGTGGTTATATTAGTATTTATTACAAAACAACCAGCAATTATTACTCGACAAGCACTGTCCAAAATATGAAATATCAAGCCAAAGCTTCGTTTCTGGGCTTTCTGAAGGCCAAAGCCGGATATAGTGGGTCTGTTAGTGCTGTTGATAAAAAATTCACAGACCATACTACTATGGATGTCATTTATAGAGGCGGCGAAACTTCCCTGCTTCAGGGTGAAGACATTCCCCATTGGGAATCTTCAGTTGCCAATAATCCCTGGCTCTTTGCTGGACAAATAGTTCCAGTCTACAAAATGATCAATGATTCGAAAAAACAAAAATCAATGATGCTGGCTGTTCAAGCACATCTGGATAAAGCGTATCTTGAGGAGCTGGCTGATTTGTTAGAGCGAGCTTCAATCAAGTACACTTTTGCAGATATCACAACTTTATATACTTTAATTCAAACAGGAATTGAATTGCAAAGCACTCTGATTCCAGATCACGAAAAAGTGACGGAGTTTGGAAATTCGGTGAGTTATCATCTGGACAAGCCCCTTAAGCAGGGGCACAACAGCGGTTCGCCGTGATGAGCTGTACAGCTCGTATGTTGGTCCTATCCCTCGTGAAATGATCTTAATCAAGCCAGATTGGTGGAACCAAACTCAAGTTTGTTTTAAACCACGAGACGGTACCGTTTCAATGACTAAATGTCAAGAATCATCTGGTCCGTTCTGTGCGTTTACTAACCAATACACTAAAGTTTACTATGACTACTCGAATAGTAACACGCTTTCCTGTCAAATGAGTTGGTCTGTTTTTGCTCCAGCTTTTGCTGATTCGTGGTTCTTAAATGCTCAAATCTGTTTCCGCTCCGAAACAACCGGATACTTTAGACAATGTGGAAATTCGTTTCGGCCGTTTATGAGCTGCGCACCAATCAATTCGTATACCAGTGAATACCTGGATGCCACAAGCTCGTTCACTGGCGGTTGCAATTTACAGTGGATGATGAAAGTCAATGAACAAGAAGCGCCATTTTGGTTCAAAAATGTGAAGTTTTGCATGAATAGTAGAGTTTTAAATGAGCGATG